AGGCTGATTTTGTCAATGGACTGGACATCTTGGACAGCTCACTGCCTGCCTCTGAACCTTAGTTTCCCTTTCTGTGATCTCTGAAATCCCTGCAGTTCTGTGTAATCCTGAAGAGCCTGAGAAGAGAGCTCCAGGAGGAATGAAGATGGGGGAGCTGCAGCTCAGATAGGCTGGTTTGCTATAGGGGTGCTGCCTGGAGGAGTGTCCATTCCTTGACCCCTTGGCCACAGACCAAGCCTTTGCCTGTGGTTCCCTGACACCCAGAGCTCTGCCCTTGCTGCATCGTGACCTGGCTCCAGGCTGAATGCCCACCCACATGTCAGACATAGCTCAGCCCCAGCCCTGGGCACAGGCCAAGCCAGGCTCAGGCTATAGGTGCATGGTCAGGGTAGGATGTGTGTCCACACTGGCTCCCTCTTTAGCCCCTCATCTGATTAAAACAATCCCAAATCTGTCTTCTTTCTTTTTGTGCCTTTCTATCTTCGGTCCTTTGCTCTTCTTTTTCTCGATGAAGCGCTTTCTCACTGAAGCTTAGGGTAAGGGTGGGGAGAGCAGGGAAGTTGGCGGAGATAAGATTCATCAATATTTAATTTTTATGGAAATCATGTCCTAGCAATCCCCAAGGGGCTGAAAATTGTTCTGTGTTTTCAGAATCTAGTGATGTTGCTGAAGCGCTTATGTTGTAAATAAAACCACATTACTGTCTGCAGCTCTCCCGTCGCTCGGCAAACACCCGGAAACTTGACAGTTTAATCCACTCAAGGAAGCAAAAAGGTTCGGGTCACTGGTGGGGGCAGCCCATTCTCCAGCCCCGGGATATAAGATGGTGAGGCATCAGCGTCAGCCGTGCGGTTGCCGCTGGAGAAGAAGAGAGAGTCAGTGTGCCCTGAGCAGATTTACCATGCTGGGGAAATTTTCTTCCTCTGAACAGGAATCTCAGGACAGCAGAGTCCCCCTGGGGTCCACATGCTGGGGAGGATTTGCTTAAAGGTAGTTGGCTTTCTTCTTCTCTCGCATGCCAGTGGTGCAGTCAACCAAAGGACCAGCAGAAAGATCAGACCCAAGTTAGTTTCCAGCAGCTTTTGGTGGGGTTGGGATTTGGAAAAGATAGTCATTCATTCATTCACTCATTCATTCATTCATTTGTTCATCAAATATTTATTGAGCATCCGCCATGTGTAAGACACAGTTCTAGGTACTGAGGAGGCAGCAAAACACACAACAATCCCTGCTTACGTTCTCATGGGTAGAGGCAGACAATAGACCAGATAAATGAGCAAAATATATACATATTGTATGACGATTCATGCTGTGGAGAAAAATGAAGCAGGAGCTGCAGGTGTTGACTCATGAAAAATGAAAACACTTAATTGACTAAAAGATATGTACAGCAATGTCCAGAACAGCTTTATTCACAATAGCTAAAAATCGGAAACAGCCCACATGGCCCTCCATGAGTGGATGACTCAACACTCTTTCATCCACACGTGGAATACTACATAGCAGTGAAAAGGAATGATCTACGGACACATACAACAACATGGATGAATTACACAAATATTTTTCTGAATGCGAGAAGCCAAGCACACAAAAATAGGTACTGGCTGATTCTATATATATGACATTCTAGAATAGACAAATGTAACCTGTGGTGGCAGAAATCAGAAGAGTGGTTACTTTGGGGAGGGAGGGATGACTGTGAACAGGTGGAGGGGCCTGTGGTGTCACGGATATGTTGTGTGGCTTGAGGTGCACCGGTCCAAGCCGACTGAATAGTACTCTAAGGATCAGAGCCTTTCATCCAGGCAAGTTACTAAACAAAATTAGAAAGCACAGCAAGCGAATAGGGTATGTCAGTGATGGTGGGAGGGGTGTTGGAACTTGAAAGTGGGTAGCCAGGGAAGGCCCTCCTGAGAAAGCGACTGGAAGAAAGTGAGGGAAAGCGTCATGAGGGTATCTGGGGAAGGGCATTCCTGGCAGAGGAGACAGCAAGCGCAAAGGCCCTGAGGTAGGAGTGTGGTCAAGGAACAGCAAGAAAGCTATTGCATTAGTCAGCTATTCTGACAAAGTACTACAGACTGAAGGGCTTAAACAACAGACATTTATTTTCTCACAGTTCTGGAGGCTGGAAGTCTGAGATCAAGGTGTTAGCAGGTTTGTTTTCTCCTGAGGCCTCTCTCCTTAGTTTGCAGATGGCAGCGTTCTTGCTGTGCCCTCACATGGTTGTCCTTCTATCTCAATGTGTGTGTGTGTCCTCATCACCTTTTCTTATAAGGACCCAAGTCATATTGAATTAACACCTATCCTAACGCCTCTGATTAACTTAAATTATCTCTGTAAAGATCCTACTTCTAAATAAGGTCACATTCTGAGGCACTGGGGTTAAGATGTAAACATAAGGATTTTGGGAAGGCAATTCAGCCCATTGATAGAAGGGTCAGAGACACGGGCAGACAGCTGCATCCTCTCGTGCCATGAGTACTGGACTGCTTGTTGCTGCTGTCCCCATGATGAAGATGTTGATTTGGGATGAGGTCCCCAAGGGCTTTGTGAGAGAGGATGGATGGAGCTGTAGAGGCAAAAGGTGGTAATTCTTGGGATCACTTTTCACAAACACTTCAGCAGGAAAACTTGCTTCCAAAAAAGCCAACCATATTCTGATTGAGGGTCAGAACACAAATCTTTCTCTTTTTGGGAGGTGGGTTGGAGTCTCACTCTGTCACCTAGGCTGGAGTGCAGTGGCACACTCATGGCCACCACAGCCTTGACCTGCTGTGCTCAGGTGATCCTTCCACCTCAACCTTCCAAGAAGCCAGAACTACAGGCATGCACCACCATGCCCGGCTAAATTTTTGACTTATTGTAGAGATGAGGTCTCGCCAAGTTGCCCATGCTGGTCTTGAACTCGTGGACTCAAACAGTCCTCCCACCTCAGCCTCCCAAAGTGCTGGGATTATAGGCGTGAGTCACTGCTCCCGGCCTAGGTCTCTCTTTCTATAAAGAAGTGGCTCGGGGGCCCATGGAGTGGAGTCTAGTTGGAGATGCCAGTGGGGCTTGTCAGCATGCTGTCCACTCACAGCACAGTGGGCTCCTCAGCTTGAAGAAGGACAAAGGGGATGGGGACAGGCTTTCCCGGGGCTGCAGGCATCCAGAAGAGGATCCGGCCAGCGCTTACAAGAACAACTCAAAGTTGGGCACAATATGCAACCGTATTCCTCCCTCACTCATCTAAGATACCTGCCCTGCCTCTCCCATCCCCAGGCCCTACATGCGCTCCCTTGGCTGAGACACCATCTGCTGTCCTTTATGAGTGCCGAGATCCTCAGTTTTACCTAGCCGTGCTCAGAAAACGCTATTGATTTTCTTTTACTTATTTATTTATGAGATTTTTGCTGTGGGCAAAAAAATAAAAAGGTTTGTGCAGCATTCCCTTAGCAGTGAGACGTTTTCTCCACCCATTGCCTTCCTCTCTGTCACACACCCTCACAGCCTGCTTTCTTGTCTCTCAATGCTCCAGGCAAACTGGCATCTCCCGGTTGTAGGAGGCAGGGAGGGCAGAGAGGAAATGGGGCTAAATGCCCTGCCTGTTGCCCTGGACAGAGTAGGTGCTCAGAAGATACATGTGGGAGAGGTGAGTAGAGGCATTTCTGAACAATCCATGGCTGGTGCTCAAAGGGTTAAGGAGGTCAAGGATAGCCTGTTCTTCTGTGGAAGTACCTACACGAACCAGGCCCAGTGCTAGGCAGCTTGGGCTTGTCTCATCTAGTCTTTATCATAAATGTGCAAAGTAGATTTGGTTACCTTTTTTCAATGGCAGAATTCAGAGTGGTTAAGCACATTGCTCAAGGATGCCCAGCAAGTGAACTGAAATCCACATTACAGTTTTCAGGACACCAGTACCCCAGTGCTCTCCACTGAATGGTATAGCCTCCCCAAAGGGGAATAAGAAACCACTTAAGAGACTGCCAGGAGCTGGCTTGGCTCACAGAGTGAGGCACCTCTCCTGTCGTACCCCCTGCAAGGCCCCTCCATTTTTAGGAAGTCCCTATAGCGCTGAGCACCTTGGGTGGGAACAGGTTTGCTCTTTTCCCCACCCTTCCAACTTTGGAAAGATGATTGTATGAAAATCTGCCCCAACCCTGGAGTAGGGCATCAGGCATAAGGGCTGGCTTTGTTCTCTTTCAGGGGAGGTAGCTGGCCAAGAAGGGCTAGAGGGAATCCAGTCCTCTCTCAGGGCACAAGGTCTATTGGTTGAGCCCCAGAGTTGCCATGTCGGTCGATCTGTTTCACTCTGTGCCATGCAGAAGTCCACCTATGTGAACTCCCTTACCCAGAGTGCCCTTTCCCACTCCAGCACTCCTGACAAATGCCTCGATGCTTCACAAGCCCCATTCCAGCCTCTGCTCCTGACTTTCTGTGCTCACCCCACCCTCTGTCATAGCACTGCTCACACTGCTGTGACTGTCGATTTGTCACCCGACCAACTATGAGCTACTTGAGGACAGAAGTCATGTCTTGTTGAGCTTTGTCTCCCTGGGGCCAGGCACGGAGCCTGGCGATGGAAGGAGGATGGTCATCCCTGTGGATCCCATACAGCTGGCAGTGCCTACATCATGTTCTTGTTTTTTTTTTTTGAGTTAGAGTCTCACTCTGTCACCCAGACTGGAGTGCCGTGGCTGCTCCCGGCCACCGCAGCCTCGACCTGCTGGGCTCCGGTGATCCTTCCGCCTCAGCCTTCCAAGTAGCCGGAATTACAGGCGTGCGCTACCACGCCTGGCTGATTTTTTTGATTTATTGTAGAGATGAGGTCTCGCTGCCCAGGCGGGTCTCGAACCCGCGGGCTCAGGCAATCCACTCACCTCAGCCTCCCAAAGGCACGGGATTACAGGCTGAGCCACGAGTCCGGCTAGGCCTACATCATGTTCATCCCAGTTGCTGAGCTACGAGAGGCGTGGCCTTCACATTCACTTAGTGTGCTTCTCTTCTCTTTTGCCTGGCAGGAGTTCCCCTTGGCCGTCCTCAGGGGCTGGGAGTGCTACTGTGCTTACCCTACCCCCCAGTTCAGCCTGCGGGATGCCATGAACAACGCGCTGTGTGGCCAGGACCCTGAGGCACAGAGGCAGGCAGATTACTGCGAGGTCTACCAGACACCAGTACAAGGTGAGTTCTGCATCCCCCACTGGTTGTGGTATTTGGTCTGGGCCTGGGAAGAGCCTCCAGGGTTTGGAGATGGCAGTCATGGCTGAGTGTGCAGTACTAGGGTGGGGAAGTTGTATGTGAAAAGACTCTGACATCTTGGTGGATGGCGGAGATAATGGGAGGGGTAAGGCCGCCACCCTTCAAGAAGGCTGCATCCTGGACTTGGTTTGAAGAACATCAGGCCCTTTATCTGAGTCTCTCTGGGGATGACAATGGTAAGAGGAAGAGAAGAAGGGTAGTGAGGGGCAGGCCCCAGAGGGATAGAAAGGCAAGGTAGTGGGTTTGGGAGACATGGGAAGAATGGGATCCTAGGAGCCACAGGGCTTCCGATGCCTCCAGGACCTGGACCTTCTCCTCGGTGTGAGCATCAGGTCTTTCCCAGCTGATCTTAGGAACTGATGAGAGGAAGAGAAGGTGAAGAAGGGTGTTATCACTTTTGTCAAGTGCCTACCGTAACCCAAAATATCACTGGAGGCTTTGGGGCTTTCCCCTGGTGACTCCAAGTCTTCTTGCATCCGCCCTAGGGATGAAATACAAGGAGTTACTTACCTAAAATTAGTCCAGCCATGATTTGTTGCTGGCTGTAGCTGGGTATAGCATTGCTCAGCCCAGCCACAACCTCTACTAGCAGAATCTGGAGTTATCTGGGCTATGTCAGCTGCAAGGATTTGGCTGTGATCATAGAGACATAGCAGGCATTGAGGGCGTGTGGCGTGTCTAATTCCCATCCCACTCCTGTGCTGAAGTATGAAAGACCTCATAGCGGGGCTTTCTATGACTAGTCACAGACCCATGCAGCCAAGGTACAGATGGAAAATCTCTTCCCCTCAAAGTCTTGGATCATGAGTGCCTATCTAAGGGAGTCCAGTGGTGAATCTGTCAATCACGATGGAAATAAGTAACCCTGTGATGACTTCTGGACTTTCAGACACTCGATGCACAGACAGGAGGTTTCTGCCCAACAAATCCAAAGTGTTTGTGGCTTTGTCAAGCTTCCCAGGAGCCGGAAACACATGGGCACGGCACCTCATTGAACACGCCACCGGCTTCTATACAGGGAGCTACTACTTTGACGGAACCCTCTACAACAAAGGTAAGTCAAAACTACAGGAGAGGAGGAAGGTGGCACCCAGTATCCAAACTGTCACCTTGCTAACTAAGCCTCTTAGAGCACTAGAGCAGTGCATCTCAAACTTGAGTCACCTTGCTAGCTAAGCCTCTCAGAGCGCTAGAGCAGTGCGTCTCAAACTTGAGTGTGCTTAAGAATCACCTGTAGGTGAAGCTGCTGCATGCCATGCTAGCCCCCCCCCATGCTAGGTAGGCTGAAGACCAGCCTACCTAGCAGTTTCCATTCACAGCAAAGCTAGACCACTGCCTCCACCAACACCCACAGTCTAGGCCACCTGAGTTACTTGCAAACACTGCTAATGTTGATCATAGCCAGAGAAATTACATAGCAACTACCCTACTGCACTCATCTAGAACCAAAAGCCAAAAAACCCTACCCAAACAACACAATGAGACACATCTTTAGGGAAAAGTTTTTCTCTGTGGAAGCCACTCCATAAAATTGGAAGAGGTGACTGTTCTACCAGATGTACATATATTAATGTAGGGAAGAACCATGAAAGAGCAAGAAAACATGAATCTTCAAAGGAACAAAACAATTCTCCAGTAACAGACTCAAAAGAAAAGGAAATGTATGAAATACCAGGAAAGAATGTAAAATAATGCATTAAGGAAACTCAGCAAGGTACAAAAGAATACAGAGAGAAGATAGACAATTCAATGAAATCAGGAATATAATTCATGATCTGAATGATAAATTCTATAGAGATAGATATCATAAAAAGAACCAAACAAATCTGGAAGCAGAAGAATTCAATGAATGAATAAAAAACACAACTGAGATATTCAATAACTTAATCAAGCAGGGGAAGGAATTTCTTTTTTTTTTTTTTTTTTTTTTTTTGAGTTGGAGTCTCACTCTGTCGCCCAGACTGGAGTGCAGTGGCTGCTCCCGGCCACCGCAGCCTCGACCTGCTGGGCTCCAGCGATCCTTCCGCCTCAGCCTTCCGAGTAGCCAGAATTACAGGCGTGTGCTACCATGCTCGGCTGATTTTTTGATTTATTGTAGAGATGAGGTCTCGCTGCCCAGGCGGGTCTCGAACCCGCGGGCTCAGGCAATCCACTCACCTCAGCCTCCCAAAGGCGCGGGATTACAGGTTGAGCCACCGAACCCGGCTGGAATTTCTGAACTTGAAGGAAGGTCTTTTGGAATAACCCAGTGAGACAAAAACAACAGCAAAAAAGAATTTAAAAGAATGAAGAAAACTTAGAAGAATTATGGGACTGCAATAAGTGAAGAAATATTCACATTATGGGATTTTCAGAAGGAGAATAAAATGGGAAGAGGCATAAAAAATAATCTATGTAATGATATAAAGCTGAAAACCTTCCAGTTTCAGGAGAGAGATAAATATCCAGATCCAGGCTCAAAGGTTCCCAAATAGATTCAACCCAAAAAGGTTCTCTCAGAGGCACAATATATAGGCAAACTGCCAAAGTCAAAGACAAAGAGAAAATTCTTAAAACAGTAAGAGAAAAGCGACAAGTCACATATAAGGGAATCTCCATTAGACTAGCATCAGATTTCTCAGCTGACACCTTACAGGTCAGGCAAGAATGGAATGATATAGTAAAAGAAATGACAGAAAAAACTTGCCAGGCAGGAATATTATTCCTAGCAAAGATATCCTTCAGAAATGGAGGAGAAATAAAATATTTCCCAGACAGGCCAAAAATGGGGGACTTTTTCAGCACTAGACTGGCCTTACCAAGAAATACTGAAGGGAGTCCTAGATTTGGAAGCAAAAGAATAATAACTGGCATCATGAAAACACATGAAAGTATAGAATTCTCTGGTAGAACAAATACACACATGAGAAAGAGAAAGGAACAAAAACTACTTCACTACAGAAAGCCATCAAACCTCAAAGATAAACAATAAGAGAGGAAGAAAAGATCAAAGGATATACAAAACAACCACAAAACAATTAATTAAATGACATAAAACAATTAACTAAATGACAACCTTGAAGGTAAATGAATTAAATTACCCAATTAGAATATATAGACTGGCTGAATGAGTAACAAAACAAGACCAATCATATGTTACCTACAAGAAACTTACCTTATCTGTAAAGACACACATAGATTAAAAGTGAAGGAATCAAAAAATATATATTCTATGCTAATGGAAACCAAAATTGAGCATGAGTAGCTATACTTATATCAGATAAAACAGAATTTAAGTCAAAAACTGTAAAAGAGACAAAGAAAGATTATTGCATAGTGATAAAGTGGTCAATTCAGCAAGAGGACATAACAATTATAAATATAAATGCACCCAACACCAAAGCACCAAGATATATAAAACAAATATTTTATCTGAAGGAAAAGATAGACTCCAATACAATAATATTTGGGAACTTTAACACTCAACTCAGCATTGGACAGATCATTCAGATAAAGATCAACAAAGAAACATCAGATTTAAACTGCACTGGAGATCAAGAGGGTCTAAGAGACATTTACAGAACATTTTATTCAACAGCTGTAGAATACAACACATAGAACATTTTCCAGGATACACTATATGTTAGGCCACAAAATAAATCTCAACATATTTTTTAAGTGAAAATTGTATAAAATATGTTTTCTGACCGGTATGGAATAAAACTAGAAATCAATAACAAGAGGAACTTTGGAAACTGTATAAATACATCAAAATTAAATAGCTGGGCACAGTGACATACACCTGTAGTTCCACCACTTGGAAGGTTGAGGTGGGAAGATTGTTTGAACCCAGGAGTTAGAATCCAGCCTGGACAACATAGCAAAACCTCATCTCTAAAAAAAAATTTTTTAATAAAAATAAATAAAAATTAAACAGCATGTTCCTGAATGCCCAATGAGTCAAGAGAGATATTAAGAAGGAAATTTAGAAATTTATTGAAACAAATGAAAATAAAAACACAACATATCAAAACTTGTGGGATACAGCAAAAGAAGTATTAAGAGGAAAGTTTATAACAACAAATGCCTATATAAAAAGTAGAGATTTGAAATAAACAATGTAATAATGTTCCTGACAGAACTAGAAAAGGAAGAACAAGCCAATCCCAAAAATCAGTAGAAGGAAAAAAGTAATAAAGCTCAGAGCAGAAATAGAGACTAAAAAAAGTACAACAGATCAGTGAAATGAAAGGTTGGTTTTTTGAAAATATAAACAAAATTGACAAATCATTAGCTAGACTGAGAAAAGAAAAAGACTCAAATAAAGAATATCAGAAATGAAAAAGGAAACATTATAATAGATACCACAGAAATACAAAGGGTCCTTAGAGACTATTATTATGAGCCACTATGCACCAACAAATTAGAAAACCCAGCGGAAATTGATATATTCCTGGACACATACAATCTACAAAGATTAAGCCAGGAAGAAATAAAAAACCTGAGCAGACCAATAAGTAATGTTATTGACTCAGTAATAAAAAAAAAATCTTACAACAAAGAAAACCCTAGGACCAAATGGCTTCACTGTTGAATTATACCAATTTTTTAAAGAAAAAATAACATCAATTTTTTTCAAACTATTACAAAAAACTAAAAGAGAGGGAATTCTTCCATACTTATTCTATGAGACCAGCAGTGCTCTGATACCAAAACCAGACAAGAATACAATAAAATGAAAATTACAGGCCAATATTCATGATGAACACTGATGCAGAAATTCTCAATCAAATACTAGCTAACCAAGTTCAATAGCCCATCAAAAAGATAACATACATGATCAAGTGGGATTCATCCCAGGTATGTAAAGATGGTTCAACATATGCAAATTAATAAATGTGACACATCACATCAATATAATGAAAGATAAAAGCCATATGATTATCTCAATAGTTGCAGAAAAATCATTTCACAAAATTTACCATCCCTTCATGATAAATACTCTCAACAAGTTAGATATAGAAGGAGTGTACTTCAACATAATGAAGGGCATACACAGTAAGTCCCTACATATGAACCTTCAAGTTGCGAACTTTCAAAGATGTGACCATGTGTTTGTATGTCCAGTCACATAAGTTAGTTCACATGTCTGGTGTACATTGTCACATGCATGCATCCTTTTCAAGGTACTGTACTGTAAAATTAAAACTTTTCATTATTTTTTGTTTGTTTTCTATGTATAATTTGTGTAAAAGTTTTATAAACCTATAACAGTACAGTACTATATAGCGGATTGTGTTAGTTGGGTACCTAGACTAACTGTTGGACTTACGAACAAATTGGACTTACGAACACACTTCGAACACAACTTGTTCATATGTAGGGGACTTACCGTATGATAAACCCACAGCTAACATGGAGAAACATTGAAAACTTTACTGATAAGAACCAAAACAAAACAAGATGCCCACTTTCACCACTCTTATTCAACATAGTACTGGAAGTTCTGGCCAAAGCAAGTTCTAGGTAAAGAAAGAAATAAAGGGCATCCTGTTTGGAAAGGAGCAAATCAAATTGTTCCTATTTGCAGATGATAAGATCTTGTATATAGAAATACCTAAAGACTTCACCAAGAAACTCTTAGAACTGATGAGTGAATTCAGTAAAGTCACAGAATATAAAATCAACATACAAAAATCAGTAACATTTTTATATGCTAGTGAACTGAATGAAAAAGAAATCAAGAAAGCAATCCCATTTACAATAACTTCAAAAAACAAAATGCTTAAGATAAATGAAATCAAGGAGATGAAAGCTCTCTATAAGGAAAACTATAAAACACTGATAAAATTGAAGAGGATACAAAATAATGGAAAGACATTCCAAATTTTGGATCGGAAGAACTAATATTATGAAAATGGCCATACTCCCAAAAACAGTTTACAAGTTCAATGCAATCTTGTCAAAATACCAATGACTTTCTTCACAGAAATAGAAAAAAAAATTCTACAATTTGTGTGGAAGCACAAAAGACCTTGAATAGCCAAAGAAATCTTGAACAAAGAGGACAAAGCTGGAAGCATCAACTACTGACTCCAAAATATATTACAAAGCTATAGTAACCAAAGCAGCATGGTACTGCCATAAAAGCAGACATGCAGACCAATGGAACAAAATAGAGAACCTAGAAATAAATCCATGCATTTACCGCCAACTGATTTTTTACCAAGGTGCCAAGAATATACATTGGGGAAAGAACAGTCTCTTAGATAAATGGTGCTTGGAAAACTGAATATCCATATGCAAAAGAATGACACTACACTCCTATCCTTAACCTCATACAAAAATCAACTCAAAATGGATGAAAAATTTAAATGCAAGACCTAAATCTATGAAACTACCAGAAGAAAATATAGGGGAAACCCTTACTGACATTGGTCTGGGCAAGGATTTTTTTAAAATAGGACCTAAAAAGCAGAGGCAACAAAAGCAAAAATAGACAAATGAGATTATGACAAATTAGAAAACTTCTGCACATCAAAAAAAAAAAAAAAATCAGAGTGAAAAGACAGCCTGAAGAATGGGAAAGAATATTTTTAAACTATTCATCTGAAAAAGGATTAATATCCAGAATAGACAAGGAACTCAATCAACAGCACAAAAAAAGAAACCCTAAATAATCTGATTAAAATGGGCAAATGATCTGAACAGACATTTCTAAAAAGAAGACATACAAATGGCCAACAAGCATATGGAAAAAAATGTTCAACATCATTAATCATCAGGAAAATGCAAATTAAAAAAAACCACAGTGAGATGTCACCTACACCCCAGTTAAAATGGCTGTAAAAAATCAAAAAGATTTTTAAAAATAACGGCAAGGATGTGAAGAAAAGGGAACTTTTATACACTGTTGGGGGATGCAAATTAGTATAGCTATTATGGAAAACAATATAGAGGTTCCTCAAAAAATAAAGCGGTCATCTGATCCAACAATCCTACTGCTGGGTATATTTCCAAAGAGGAAAAAAAGAATCAGTATGTTGAAGAGATATCTGCACTCCCATGTTTTTCACAGCACTATTCACGATAGCCAAGATATGGAATCAACCTAAATGTTCATCAACAGATGAATGGATAAAGAAAATGTGGCATATAGATAATACACAATGTAATATTATTCAGCCATAAAAATAATAATCAAATCATACCATTCATGGCAACATGGATGATCCTGGAGGACATTATATTAAGTGAAATAAGCCAGGCATAGAAAGACAAATATCATCTCCACACATATGTGGAAGCCAAAAAAGTTGATCTCATAAAAGTAGAGTAGAGTAGTGATCAGTAGAGGCTGGGAAAGGTAGGAGAGAGGAAGGCATGGGAAGAGGTTGGTTAATGGACATAAAATTACAGCTAGATAGAAGGAATAAGTGCTAGTGCTTTTTAGTATTGTAGGATGACTCTAGTTAACAATAATTGATCGTACATTTTCAAATAGCTAGAAGAGAGGATTTTGAATGTTGCCAACACAAAGAAATGACAAATATTTGAGGTGACAGTTATGCTAACTACCCTGATTTGATCATTTCACATTGTATACATGCATCAAAATATCAGTGTAGCTGGGCTCGGTGGCTCAGCCTGTAATCCCACGCCTTGGGAGGCTGAGGTGAGTGGATTGCCTGAGCCCGTGGGTTCTAGACCTGCCTGGGCAACTTGGTGAGACCTCATCTCTACAATAAATCAAAGAATAGCCGGGTGTGGTAGTGCACGCCTGTAGTTGCAGCTACTTGGAAACTGAGGCAGAAGGATCTCCGGAGCCCAGCAGGTCGAGGCTGTGGTGGCCAGGAGCAGCCACTGCACTTCAGTCTGGGTGACAGAGTGAGACTCCAACTCAAAAAAAAAAAAAATCACAGTGTACCCCATGTAAATGTATAATTATCACATGTCAGTTAAAAATAGTGACTAACTTATATTTCAGTTAAAACAAATAATCACCTGGAAGGCTTGTTAAAACGTGGATTCCTGGCCCGCACCCCCCAGACAGTCTGATTTCGTTGGTCTGAGGTGGAACCTGGAAATGTTCATTTCTAACACCTTCCCAGGTGATGCTGCTGATGTAGGCAACTCTAGGACCACACTTTGGGTGGAACTTCACGAGATGGTGCCTGTTCTGGATTCAGAGGGGGAGGTTAGCAGTTTGAATTTCCCCTCTATCACCATTTCTTGAATTTTTCTTCATTTTAGAACCCTCAGTAATTAGGGGTGAAGCTGATTTAATCTGTTCATTCCTTTTTTTTAAGGCAAGGAGTAGCTCATCTAAATGCAATTTTTAAAATGTCCAAAAATCTTCGGGAGTTTTATGATTTCTAATATTTCACTTATAGAAGTAAGAGACGGCCTCATTATGCCAAGTAAGTTGGCTTTAATGGCTTAAATGTACTGTTTAAGAATGAAGAAGCTCAGACAAGTCAAGTGGCATCTAAATTTGGCAAAATGTATTTCTCCATTGTCAAGCGTTACAACATTTTCTTTGGGTTTCTTAACCAGAGTTTAATTTAGGAAAGTTAGATACTATCAGTAGCATCCCAGAGAAACAGAAACTTCTTGAGCTTGGCAGTGGGTTCTGGAATCACTGTCAACAACATTGGTCTGGTTGGGAAAAAGCCAAGACTGTCCATATAAGCCAGTACCATCTTCCTTGGGAGTCTTGAGTGCTAGCGATACCTTCAGGTGAGGGAAGAAGTAGTCATCAGATAAACACGTGGTCCTGCCACTCTGGCCTAATCCCCTGGGAATCACCACTATATCCAGGCTACAGCTACTTGTTCATCTAGAAGGCCTTAACTTGTTCATGCAGCTGGCTGTTTTGGACTGCATATGATGCATGGCTCAAGAACTGGAAGAACCAGCTATAAGGATTGGGATGGCACTGCCTCAAAAATGCTTTAGAGATACCCAGTGCAACTTTGAGCCTTACAGGACTATTAGATGTAGCTACTAGCTTAAGAACAATGACGGCACGATCACACACACACACATACACACACACACACACACACGCACACACACACACACACACACACACACACGTAAAATTCAAATTCACAAGGCATCTCCTTGCCTAAATGACATACCTATTGTGGTAAGGGAAACATGAATGTAGTCTGAGCTGCAAGGCAGAGTTGCTATGGCTGGAACAGGCTAAGGCCATATAAAAAGCACCCTGGTTCTCAGAGTTGTTATAGATCAGATCTCAAGTTTATTCATTCCACGGTTCGACGCTTCACATTTCCTAGCTATTTGACAGAATGCATCAAAGCAAGGGCTTTTGGTGATTGGCCCATGGCAGAGATGAGTTTGAAGCTTGTTGAGTTCCAGTGGGTAAACCCAGACTTCCAGGTTCAAAAGAGACTTGCATTTTCCAGACATCAAAGAATCCCTCACTTGCTCACTGTAGATACAAATGCTTCCAGCCATTCACAAACAGCGGCAGGTGGTAGGGCTCATTTTGTTTCCAAGAGTCCAAGATAAGCTCATGAGTATTTACGGAGCATATCCCAGAACTGGAAGGCAGGAGCTACATTGGGATGTGGCCAGGAAGCTAGGTTCAAAAGACCTCTTTCCAGGAAGCCTGCTGTCACATCCCCCATGATTATTAACCTATTTGGTTCTCGCTACTCTTTGTCACCATAAGTCCCTATCCTCTGTACTTGGGCTACTTCCTCTACTAGAATATAAGTTTAAAGACAGGGTCTGAGCCTTTCCCTTTGTCCCCAACATAAAGTTCAACACAGTGGGCACACAGGAACCTTTGCTGATAAATATGTGACTCTATGGTGAATGGGTGGAGTCTGGCCTTGTCTGCCAGGTTCTGAGTGTCCAGCATTGTACCAAGGGGCCAAAGTAGGAGACAGGCCCCAAAGAGGTGGTCCTGGGAGCAAGTCTCCATTCATAGAAACCGGACCCTGGGTTCCTCAGGGCTGGACTCAAACACTGTATATGATACCTTGACCAGACCTGCTCTGGGGTCCAAGGTGGAGAATCTCCATACATGCAAGGCTGGACCCCAGTTGTGGGACTATGGCATAAGCTCAAGGGTAGGGTTACACCTGTTTATGGCCATTGAGCCTGATGTTGGGGATCCTACCCCCACAATTGGGAGGTGGGAGGAAGCTGAGGTACCTCATATGGACACATAAAGTCATGTAGAGAGAACCCTGGTGCTGTTTCCACGGTACTGTGTGATCTTGGACAAGTCACACACTCACTCTAAACCTCAGACTCTTCATTTGGCTGTGCTTACAGCTGTATTTCTATTACAAGGTTATTTGTGATGCTGTGTGAAATTATCTCCGTGAAAATGTCCAAAACATCTATATACATCTCCAGTGTCTCAAAGAGGGCATGGTCAGGCCCTCTGCCTCTTAACTCCTGAGGGTGTGTAGGAGGTGAGATGCCTTATCTCATTTCTCTTGCAGGTACCGTCTTTCCCTACTCTTAGACACCTCCTGCTCCCACTTTCCCTTGGCCAGGGGTCACTCCTGTGGAGTTGCTCCTGTCACCATCCATAGGTCCTCCCAGTGCCCTCTGCTGTGCCTTTCATGGGCCTCTCTTATGCCCCTGATACTGGCTTTCCCTCAGAGTTGCAGGTTAGGTTCAGACCTGTCTGCTGCTATGGGAAGGGGTCCCACACACACCTTCCTCCAAAGAGGCCCCTCTCATTTCTCTCGGCAGGGTTCAAGGGTGAGAAGGACCATTGGCGGAGCCGGCGCACCATCTGTGTAAAAACCCATGAGAGTGGCAAGAGGGAGATCGAGATGTTCGATTCGGCCATCCTGCTGATCCGGAACCCGTACAGGTCACTGGTGGCCGAATTCAACAGGAAATGTGCTGGGCACCTGGGTTATGCAGCTGAACGCAACTGGAAGAGCAAAGGTAAATGGGGACTAGGAGGGCAGGTTGTCAGTGCAGGCAGGATGCTTATCAGGATGCAGGATCAGTACACACAGGTAGGCACTCAAACCCCATCTTCTCAGGGACTTGTCTCTGCTGTGCCTGGGCTTGGGGTCGCCTTCTCCCCTTCCCTGTCATGCCTGCTCAGGTCCATGTGTCACAGTGTTTTATGTAGACACCAGCTTGGTTGCCAAGATTCTCCTCTGCTTGCCATAGTGGCACAGTGAGGTGATCTATACCCCTTTTCTACCCCTGCTTATATCCAGGAGCTTATGCAGGAGAAGAACACTTTAAATGCACATGGACCTGATTTGCATCCTCTTTTGCCTCTGGAACCAGGTTCCTCCATATCTCATGGAGCATTCTGGGATCAGTGGGATGATGTGTATGTACATAATCTATGGTCAGAGCTCAGCATGTCAGTTCCCACCTAAGCTGCCTCTCCTCAACTTCTCACAGTGTTCCATAGGGTAGTCACATCAGCCCTACTTTCCAGATGAGCCCAGAGAAACGGCTGTGTGACTTGTTGAGGTGGGCTAGATGGTAGGACTCAGACTCATTCAGACTGTCTTTGTCAGTTCAGGCTGCTGTAACAAAATACTACAGACTGGGTGATCTAAACAACAGATGTTATTCCTCACAGTTCTGGAGGCTAGGGAAGTCCAAGATGAAAGTGCTGGCTGAATTTGGTTTCTGGTGGGGCCCACTTCCTGTCTCCTCACTGTGTCCTCACATGACAGAGAGACATCAAAAGCTCTCTGGGCTCTCTTCTTCAAAAGGCACTAATCCCATCACAAGTGCCCCACCCTCATGACTCATCTAAGTACCTCCCAAAGGTCTCATCTTAAATATCACCATATTGAGGGTTAGGGTTCTTAGTGAATTTGGGAGGAATACAAACATTCACCCCATAACACCCAAACTCTCTGATTCTGGGTCAGATTAGCTTATTCCCCATTTCGTCTTTATTCATGGAGTCAGTCTGCTGACCCACACTTACCAGAGTCCTACCGTGTGCTAGGCACAGACAAGGCCCCAGGGTCCCAGGAGAAGGGGTCAGGGTCTCTGCCCTCCAGGCATGCATAATCTAGGCTTTGCTCTGATGAATAACAAAGTTGCAAGTCTGAGTAGTAAGTGATGTGAAGTTAAATCAGAAATAAAGCAGTGTCCAAGCAGTGTGGGTGCTTGTGGATACTGTGGGGCCTTGTGGCCAGGCAGGCTTAGGCTTCTGTCCACTCATGCTTGGATCCGCAGAGGCTGATGGATGGTGTTGGCTGGCTTCTAGTCTTTCCCTTTCCCTGTCACCCTCCACCCAGGCTAGGCCCCCACAGTCAGGCAGGCTGAACTCTGAGCCCTTGTCTGCCTCTTGTGAACTGAACGATCCCTGGCTAGCTACTTACCTTGAATTTTGAGCTTCCATTTTCTCATCTTAAGAAGACTGAAGAAAACAAACCTTTCACATAACATTTGAGGTGTATTAATAGCCCAATGAATAGCCCAGTTTGGGGGAGATGATTTATGACATTTGTACTCCACTCCCCCACCCCAAAAAATAATAACTTAATCTTCTGGAAAAGAAATCTTACACAATAGGTCACCTGCAGAAATCTGAGACCAAGGCCACCCTTGTCTGTGGCTTCCTGGTACTTCCTACCACCCAGCAGTTTCATAGGTTCAGCCTGGCAATCAAACCCACAAAGCACCACATGCATCCATCAAGCACCATGTTGACTTAGATACATAGGGCCTGGGATGGGAAATCAAGCCTGTATAGCATCTTCATCTCACCAGGAGGCCTGGCAGCTGCTCCTGCCCACAACACACACACGACTCAGTCACCAAAAGTGTCTTTCTCCATGGGTCACTCCAGGCAGGTTGGCCCTAGGCAATGGGCAGTGGGCAGTCCTGGCTGCTTCCCTCTCCTGAGGAGGCGCAAGGGGGAACAGCAGCCCAGGCAGGGCTGCCCCTGACTCCATATCTCTTCTCTCCTCACCCCAGAGTGGCCAGACTTCGTCAACAGCTATGCCTCGTGGTGGTCCTCGCATGTCCTGGACTGGCTTAAATACGGAAAGCGGCTGCTGGTGGTGCACTACGAGGAGCTGCGGCACAGCCTGGTGCCCACATTGCGGGAGATGGTGACCTTCCTCAATGTGTCCGTGAGCGAGGAGCGGCTGCTCTGCGTGGAGAACAACAAGGAGGGCAGCTTCCGGCGGCGTGGCCGGCACCCCCATGACCCTGAGCCCTTCACCCCAGAAATGAAGGACTTGATCAATGGCTACATCCGGACAGTGGACAAGGCCCTGCGTGACCACAACTGGACTGGGCTTCCCAGGGAGTATGTGCCCAGATGATAGGCTCTGGGCTGCGTGAGAGACGCAGTCTCACCAGAGGACTGCACACCCACCATCCTGCCCGGGCTCGTGGCCTTGCTGGGACCATTGGCAGGAAGGCCTGCCCCATGCTGCTTACACACAGGGAGACCTGAACACAGGTGGACACACATGCCTATCCAGACACCCACACCTTCTCAGACACACCTAGACACCACTCCATGCTCACAGTGCCCATATTGACACAGCTAGGCCACCCATGCAGGGGGTGCCAGACGTTGCAGATGCAAACACAGCCACGCACAGATGCAGACACACGGATGCCAGGCTACATGATTCTGGAGGTTGGCCGTCCCTCCTCACACAGGCTCACGTGTGTGCCCTAGGCTCTCAGAGGCCTTGGGTGTCCTGTGTCCTGCCCTGGCATGGACTTGCTCGTCAGGATGTTTGACTCTGGGATGCTGGACTGGGCAGGCATTCGTGCTCTGAGCAGTGAGGACCATCGGGATGGAGGTGGGCGCAGGGACTGCTGCTGGGGGCTTCATAGCCCTGACCGTGTGTCTGACATCCCATAAATGTGTGTGGTATGACTACCAGTCACCGCAAACTTTGCAGCCCTGCCTCTGTCTTCTCTGTCACTGAACTGGCATCACTGTGGGCAGTGTGAAACCACCCCCACCCAATACACACACTGAACTCAGGACTAGCCACCCTTCAACTCACCTTACATCAGTGCTCCTCAGAGTGGGGTCTCCTCTCCTGGCTTCTTCCTCCAACTGACCCTGGGGAAGCCAGCAGTTCATACTATGCCCCAAAAGCAGGGTGTGAGGGCCAGAGGGGCCCAGATCTAGGAGGTCTATGCACCAGCAGAAGGGGAGTTGGGGACCACTGCCCCACCCATATTGATAGGTCCCTACTCTCTGGGAGGGGGTGTCCTGTGCTGTGGTCATGAGAGCTACTTAGTGCTCAGCTGGGCCCCCAGGCCAGGCCCAGTCAGCCTGGGACAAGGAGAGGTACTGATAGCAATGACCTTCTTGAGTCATACTCTGCTGTATAACTTGGGCTCAACAATGAGACTGTGGAAACTGGGAGGCTCGGCATGGAGGGTGAGGGTGCAACCCAGGAGCAAATCTCAGGTGGCCAAGATGCTGCTGGGAGGATTGTTGAGATTAGGTTACATGCTGTTGCCTGCAAGATGGATGGGCCTGAACTCAGGCAGCCCCCTTGTGGCTTCTCCAGGCCTGTGGTAACCCTGGCTGGGCCCCTTGGCCATACCCTGGGATGGCCATCACAGCGTCCTCCCCTCAGCCTGAGCCAAGCTGCACTGGGAGGGAAAAACAGGGTAAGGGGTTTGGGAGAGCTGGGCATTGGAATGCCCCAGCCCTCTGCTCCTTGACCTGGAGATGGGGGACTGAGAGCCACCCCCCACCCATGAGCACAGGCAGCAGGTGGAATGCCCAGTGGAGCTGCTTTCCTTCCAAGGGAAGCCTCATCCAGCCTTCAGTTTGGCCTGTGGGTGGGTTTGGGCACCTGCGCCCCCAGTGGCCTCCATGTCCTTCTTGGGATTCCTCCAAACTCACACAGATACAAAGCTGGTCTTGACACTCCCACAGCATCACTCAGTTCAGCTCACAGCTAGAAACATCAAGCTCTTTGTGAATGTTTGTTGGTGCAGGATGACTACAGGGTCCAATCTGTGAAAGCCTCTGATGGTACTAGTTCTCCCGAGTTGTAAGAACAGTTGAGACCTACCAGAAGTTCCCACGCTGCCGTGGAAGGGGAAGCCAAGGGAGACCTACATTCCAGGCATGGCACCAGACTGATGGAGAACAGAGAAATCTTCAGGGGAGAAGACTTAGAAGCCATGGAGGTTGGGAAGGGCAAAGTGTGGAGAGAGGACAGACTAGGACTGGAGCTAGGGCATGACTCCTTGGGCTTCCCCTACAAACCCAGGTGTCTAGGGAGAGCCATAGACTAGACTTCCTCCTGGTAGTGGGTTGGGTAGTTCATGGCTGCCAGGTGCTCAGAGACCTCACTTTCTCCCCAGGTGGAGTATCACCTGCTCACATGGCCTTGTACATTACTGTGCACCTTGGCTAGTAGTTCAGGAATCATGGGGTCAGATCCATCCAGGTTATATTGAGTCACTCCATATGGCAAGGCACCTGATGCTTGACAGGTTCCCCAGATGTTGGATGAGCAAGGAGGTACAAAGGGCCCTGTCTTCAGTAGCCATCATCCCAGGTGTGCCTACACAGGATATCTCAGCAAAATCAGGAAGGGGGATCTGCTTGTCCTTTTGGGAAAGTCCATATTTCTCTAAGTTAGGTCTTATCTGCAACTCTCAGCTTCTCGGTAAAGAGGACACTGTCTCAATCAGCTGATGAGTAAAAGCTGATCTGTATGTAGGGCAGAAGAAGTGTGTCAAATGCATCAGGAACCAATTAGAACAGAACAGCAAAACCCTGACTACCTACAGATTCCAACTCTAATAGCAAGGCTACGAAGTTACACAAACCTGTGTTAAGACACGTAATTTTATGGATATCAAATCCTGTTGTAGATCAATTTGGAAAAACCAAAATATATAATTTTTTAAAAGTGAAATATTCTGATAATCCCACTGATGTGTAAATGAGAGAGAAGAATAGACAAGCTTCCAAACCCTGGGAAGGAAGCTGCTTAATTATATGAACATCTTATAATGAAGTCTCTTGCAACTAAAATTAGGTTTTGAGTGCATGAATATGTGATAATGTTTGCACATCAGAATGCATTTTTCCCCTTAAAAGTAGCAAGAGCTACTACTTGTTTCTTAGGGGACTCCCAAGAGGGGAGGAGAAGTTCTGAGGATGATCTTGTGACTGCAAAGAACACTTGGGACACAGGTTTATTTTCTTTTCACTCATTTGGAGGTTTTCGAAATGCAGTAACTCCAAAGGGGTTCATTCAAGTTTAGGGATAAATTGGTCAGTCTGATCTCATACTGATCACCACTCAATATTGGGTGAGTTGGCCCGAATGAGATAGGAGCAAAGTGGAGTGGAAATAACGTAGAGTCTTCAGACAAAAGCACTAGTTGTGATCCCAGTCCTATTCTGCTGTCATCTTAGACAAGAGCTTTCCCTATCTGGTCTCAGTCTGCCATCCATAAAATGAGGGCTATGCTAGTTGTTGTTGGTTGCATTGCAGACATGCATTCCCTAATTTCCTTTCCCAGCAGCCCATCATTTCTGTTAGAGGATTCAAGATCTGCCAGAGCTGAGTCTATCCTCACCTCAAGGGGTGGAATATAGTCTTGGACAAAGCCAACAACACATTCCATCTCTCTAGCACCAGTGACTGGTTCAGGTATGATCGTCTGAGTGAAGGCAATGCGGCCAGAAAGAATTTCAAGACTTTTCGGAAATGCTGGGTAGAAACGTTTTTAATTCCCCTGTTGAATGTGAAGGAGGAAGTAAGTAATCCTGGGTCTTGGTGGTAGCTACCTTGGGGTCATGACCAGGATCACTCATCATGAAGCCAACACCACCGAAGGGGAAGTCAAGAGACAGGAAGAAAAGCAGGTCCTTGGTGGCATCGTTTATGTATGGGATCAAGCCTTGTGTGAGCTTGGCCCTAACTCTAGACTTTTTTGTTACAGCCAATAAATGATCTTTATTAAGTTGAGTTGATTTGGATTTTGTTACTTATAACTCAGGGCATGCTGCAAAAAGCTTGGATTGAAAGACCCTGGGACTCTGACATTCTCTGTCTCTATGGCTGATGTAGATAAAGCCTGAAATTCAGACCAGCACAAGCTGGCAGGATTGGAAGCTTACTTTTCACAGGAATGGGGCTGGATGTGAAATGCTCAATAGAAAACTGTGCCCAGTCAGGCAAGACAAGTAGCATTTTTAGGTGCCATGGTGAGGTCACCCAGGTAGTCTGAGAAAATAATTTATTTTAGGTGCCCAACCCAAACTATCAGTTGTCTTATTTAATCCTTAATCAACCCTTTAGTGTGGTTATTATTTGATTACTATCTCTGCTTGAAAAGGGAGAGGACTGCAATTCCAATCAGTAATGATTATAAAATTATGACCCTTTTGTATTTAACTCCTTTCATGGAGTGTATGATGGGGTGTTGAAAGGAAGTCTTTGATAAGCTACTTGGATTGGGGGTCCCTTCAAGGAACATGTTTGAGTAACAGAAGGTGGACAGTAAACTCCCTTCTAAGGAAGGTAGGTATGGTTAACCATACAGCTTTGATTTTGCTATGTGGTACACACAAGCTTGAGACAGTGCAGAAGCGTTGCTATTGAAGGAGGGATAGGTGATGCCACTGAGAGTTCCTCCTCTGTCTCCCTTTTTAACCTTTCTGTGTGCCATAATTTAGAAGGACAAAGGCAAGGACTCTCTTAAAACTGTCCTTGGGATGTCTGACTATCATATAGTATGCCAGAATGGAGGTCTGTATAATAAGTAGTAAAAGGCCACGATCCCAGGCAATCAATATGAGTATATTTGTCCACAATGCTCCCTTTTGAAACTGAGGACAGATTTGGGACCCTCCTGAGAATTTCCACGCGGCAGAAACACTGCAGAAATCCAGGTCCCTGTCATGGAAATATGAGCAGATCCAGCCTATATTACGAGCATACTTGCTTATATAAACTAGGAAACTTGATGCCAAACAAAAACAAAAATAATTCTAGTGGCTGTTATAAGCATAAGCATGAGCTGAATGAATTAACTTTTCAAGGCATCTTTAGTACTTCTTCACCTCCTCTGCCCCCATCAGACATCAGTCATGACAGATCCATGGCTTGAAGCTATGGCCAATGATGATTAATTAACAGTGAACAACATTCTTAATGGGTCACAACTTCCCACAGACATCGTCCCACACTTGCCTCAGTGGGGTGGACATTATTTCCATGTGGAGGGAAGAGAAAATTTAGTTTCTGAGATTGTGTTAGCTGAAATTTAACCTCTTTATTTTACAGATGAGAAAAATGAGATTCGGAATGGGGAAGGGTCTCTGAGAGGTCACACTGTGGGAAGGAGTGGTGGAGCTGGGACTGGAATGTGGGCTCTTTCCACTAAACCACCTGAATGCCCCCGTAGTGCATCCCTATAATTCTTCAAGAAATTGCTGGAAAGGAGACAAGTGTGCACACACATTTGGAAGCGAGTTCATTAATTTCACTGCTAATTCTTTGCCAGAATACCTTTTGGTGGACACCTGAGTTCACTTTTAAGAGCCACTTATCAAGCGTCCTTGGTATTTGAAAACTTGCAGAGGAAGCATCCCTTTCCAAAGAAGGGAGGTCAGAGAGATGGACCACAACTTGCCATGAGATAGGAGCCCCGAGTCTTCATCCTAAGTCACAAACATCCCAGGCAGCAGAAAGGCCCTGCTACTCCAAGGTATTAATCCATAGGCAACCGTCTTTGGTAAGACTGAGCCCAGTGGTGTGTATGTTTGTGAGCACGTGTGTGTGTAGATGTGAGTTCCAGTTGCTGATAGACAGCTGCCCTTTGAATCCCACGCCAGCCATCCTGAACATTACAAATGACAGGAGCCTGGTCACTGGGCTTTGGCATCAACTC